CGAACGCTCGCGCTTTCTCCGTAACTAATTTGATTAATTCATTTCGCATCGCTCTGCCCGTGGACTCATAACCGCGATGGCAATTGCAAAACCGCTGGCCAGCCGAAAAGGCCGGGCACAGAAGACAATTCCAAACAGGGAGAGGGAGAGGGAGAGGAGGAGGGGGACACCATGGTGAGAAAACGCGCGAGAAGAGAGAAGAAGGGCGAAAAACCGGCACTGGTAATTTCGAACGAAACGAAAAAAAGTGTCGAGCAAATTCGCATAACAAGGCGGACAACCGCGCAATTAAAATTACGTTCGCGCGGGCAAAAGAAGAAGGAGGGAAAGAGAGAAAGAGAGAGCGCACGCGCGAGACGAAACAATAAAACGGAAACTGAAAAAGAAAAACAAACCGGCAAAAAGGCGAAAAAGGACAAACAAAAAAATAAATAAAGCGACGATTTCGTATGTGCGCCGGTCGCGGAAAAATGTCTCGCGGAACGAAAAAAAAAGGGAAAATGGGGGGTAGAAAAAAAAGGAGGAAAAACGTGACACACGAGTTGAAACGCGGGCTGGTAGACGTCGCGTCGGTGTGCACCGGCAACCACCAGCCAGCCAGCCGTCGCTGTTGCCCGTAGTTTTCGGCGTGCTCTAGCGAAACATATGCGACTCTAAACACGCACTTTCCACACTCGACTTGCACACGTAGGCCCGGCTGGTTGGCTGGCAGAGAGGCAGCCGTGCAACCATCCAGCCGCCAGCCAGCCATCCAGCCAGCCGGCTGCTCGACCAACCAACCATTCCACATTCCATTCGTCGATCCTCTTTCTCTCTCTCTCCCCCTCTTTCTCTCGCGTTTCTCTCTCTCTCCCCCCCGAGTACATAATGAAGTCAGTCCCGGCGTTCTAAGCCCCGAAAATATCGTGTGGCAGGGGCCCTCCCCGAGATAATATTGGTGATGTATACTAACAGGCTTTTCGGTACCGGGACCACGTCGTTTTTGCGTCCCCCAGCCGTGGCCAGGCTCGTCCTCCTAAATGATTTACCGCGAAAAAAAGGAGAAAGGGAGTGAGAAAAAGAGAGAGAGAGAGAGAGAGAGAGGGGGGGAGGGAGAAACGTGGAAGGAAATCGCACAGGCCGGTCAGTATCTCCGCTATTCGCCCCAGCCACCGGTGCGACCACCCCCAAGGAAAAACTTCGGCCCTTTTTAATCCCGCCTCTCGCGGCTGTATACCTGTGGCGAAAAGTGTTTTTTCGCGCGTACACCGAAAATTCCGCCGGTAAACCGCCGGAGACTTCGTTAACCTTTATCCGAGCGTGGTCGGTGGTGTCTGCGGGTGCTCTCCGAGGGGTCGAAGGGCGCGAAGGGTCGCCGGACGACGCGGAATGTTTGAAAGTTCGCGATTTATACGGCAAGCGGGGCGCATTGTTGCGCGGACGTCGCGCCGCGCCGGACCGCTGTTTAGAACGCGCCCGTGCAACTCAGACTCGCAGGATTAATTAGTGGAAGGATGTTTACGCGGCGTTAACCATATATTGTCTTCTGCGGGGAGGGTGCTGCTCACCGCATCGCCCTGAGAATCCGGCAAGTTTAATTAAAAAGGGAGCTAATGTCACGGCGCATTGGAGAAAAGTCGAAGTCGGGGAACAAAGACCTATGAAAAATGTGGCAACGAGCTGTTGCAGCAGCCAACGATCTGTCGTGCTGTGGGACATTTTGGAAGCCCTGTGGGATCTTAGGCATGGGGAAATACGAGACGTATTCAGAAAGTTAGTTTGCTTTAGAAATATTTCGGCTGCGACGTAGCTACGTTAGTGTCCTTTTTGTGTGAGCTGATGTTCGCTTTTTCGGAGCCGAGCTACCATTTTCATGCAATTAGATCATAGATAGAAGAAAATTTATTCTTTTAATTTTTATTTTATTTTATATTTTCTTTTTGCGATGCGAGATCTGCAATTCGTTTCTTAAACGAGAAACGTGAAACCAGCAGATATTTAGCTATTTATTTATTTATTGGACGGGCTATAAAGTCCTGTTGTACAATACAAATAGATAAGAAAATAACAATCGAACGTACAAAACTAGAATATTTATCACATTTATCGTCAAATCTGTGAAATAGATGAAGAACATGCCGTAACTGGTTCAATGGTTAGAAGATTAGACATTTATTTGCAATAAAAAGACGTCTAAAGACGTTAATAAAATTAACAATTGTTTCAATGATCAACGAAACGGCCAACCGGCTATCGTCAACCATAATTTGATGCGTGGATCGACAGCAAAATTCGTGATAACACACGATTCGCAATTTCGTTACTTTCAACACATTTTTCACACATTCTACGGACCTTTTTCCACCAAAATATGTCAGATCGACTGATGTTTAGGAAATTATGTCAAAGAAGCCGTTAATGCTTGGCTTTGATGTCTCCATAATAATGGAAATTATGTGCATCTCGAAATTCACGTTGAAGAAATTCTAAAAAAATATATACAATTTTTTCAATAATGAATCGGAGCGGTGCAAATCGTGCAACGAAGATATAGCTACCTCGAAGACTGAACAAATCAGCTCGGAAAAAAGCATCTGCGAGTGGCCTAGATCAATATAAGCTATTGACGATGACGTTGTCTAATGGAGACAGCGAATACGTCGAGTATAGCAACTATCCTCGCTCGAGTAACGCAGTATTGCTTCTGGGAAAACGTTTTCCGTAAACTTGTATCTGCAACCTGTCGTCGGTGAGTTAACCTATCATTCAATTGTAGCATAATCCGCTCAGGCTGCAAAATATTTCGCTTGAGCAACGACTCAGCGATTTCTGTGGAACGATAGATAATTAGGTTGGTCAATAAGTCATTGCATTATTGTCCAATAGATGGCATTAAAAAAAAATAAACGCTACGACTTATTGGCCAATCCAATAGAATTGATGCTTCTTGAAGATGTTCATAATTTTGGGAAACCACGCATCCGAATTTGCAAGGAGAACAAAATGTGTACATTTCTGATGAAACCTGAACGCACGGTGAGCAGGGATAACGAACATTTTGGGCAAGAGAGATGGTAGAAGAATTATGTCTCAAATGGTAGTTCTCAATTTCTGTAACCATGATTTAGCACACTAAAATAAAATAAATGTAATAATGGTGAAGAAATCTTTTTTTATTATTTATGCGGGCCGATTGCTTAACGATACGTTGTAAGCAACACCTGTCATCGGAGTAGAACAATATCTAGGTAATTCAAATGACTTCGTTGTGAAACAAAAAGTTCTCGCGTCTTTCTCTCGTAATTTATTACGCGAACGATAATGATGTGATTAACGAGCACCTGGTACTCCGAAATGATTTAAGAAGCGTGAAAGTGCCGATTTCTGCTAGAGGAAACATGACAAAACGAAAGGTCAAACGAGATTAATGGCTACGATGACATACGTTAGTTGAAAATAAATCAAGTTTTACATAATCGGCGATATTAGAATTTCGTCCAGCAAGCCGTCGTCATTAGGCTACGGATTTTTATGCAAAGTTACATTTCTTTTTCTTCGTTCGGACTGTTTTTAAATTCCTCTCAAATTGTTACTTCATTAATAACAAGTTATCGCCGGCTAGTCATCGTTACTAGAAATTCTCCGAAATATTATTATAGTAAACCAGATTTCGCTGAAAACCTGTCCGCCGCACGTACTTCAAGGCGATCAAACACAAATCGTATGAATCACATCCGGACAACGTTTAAAAGGTTTTAAGCAGTTTCACACCCAGCCCATACATTCCTCGTCGATTACACACGATCGTGACCCGTTACTCCTTTCCACTAATTCCGAAAAACCTAATCTCGGATTAGTGATCTCCTAATCAAGGAGAACGCGCTCCGAATGATTTAACGTTCAACGATTTAACACGTTGAGTGTTCTCATTAGCTTTCAAAACTCATTTTTACCGCAATACATTCGAACTGAATTTTACTAGGATATTTTCCCTGTGATAAATGAGCCGTTTATTTTGAAAGTGGCATAAGAGGCACTTTGTTTTGAAGTCGATATATTTAAGGGTTTGCGTTTTAACACGTTTAAAAATATGGATGCTAACTTTCGAGAAGATTTACTTGTATTTGTTATCTCAGGATACTGATATTTTTCTCAGTATAAATAATTTCGTATAAACATTAAAAACATTAAACACTTTTCATTACGATAAAGTGACTTATGTCACTTTTAAAATAAACGGCTCATTTTAGTAAAGACACTTCGACCGAGGACAGTATTGTACGCAACCATCCTTAATTCTTATCATTCTGTCATTACTACTACTGATGCTACTATCATTGTTATTCTTTTAATTGTTATTATATACAAAGGGTTCATCTCGTTAAAGAATAAACTCTATTATTATTATTATTATCATACTGCAGATTTAATGCGTTTATAACAAATGTGAATAAGTGGAATGAAACATCGCGAAGATTCTGGAAATATTTAAGAATACTGTTTTTTACTTGTACTTGTTATCTCAGGATACTGATATTTTTCTCAGTATAAATAATTTCGTATAAACATTAAAAAATCCCCACTTTTCATTACGGTAAAGTGACTTGTGCCACTTTCAAAATAAACGGCTCAAATTTTAACTTTCTAGTTTCAGTTCCATCAATGAATCCACTTAGATCTTGCGGTAATTTTTTCGGCGCTTGGCGTGTTCAGAGACCATTGATCATTTTCAACTCTCCTTTCGCAACGCCAGCCGTAAAAATATTGTTGGATCAGCTGTGCCCTAATAATTGTGGTACAATCTAAGCTCGCCAATTGATATCAACGAAACTCATCTTCCAAACTCATCTGTTCGAACGTCTAAAACCTGAATCGCATCATTCAACGATCATCCCCGTCGTATCTCGGTCGTGAGCATACAGAATTACCAGTGTAGTCGGAGCAACCTGATTTATATCTACGGCAGAGAAAATCGCGGTGCGAGAAGATAAACGGGCCAAAAGATATTGTAAAATGCGAACCTTTGTGATGCCTGAGATGGGACCGTCCGCAGCAGGGTTGCTCGAAATAAGCATGACCGGGGTGCGCACCCGTGGGTCTGCTGGCCTGACTGGGTAGTAGTAGGTGTCCGAAGACAGCTGCTAGGACAGCTGTCCTGACGAGCAGCAGCAGCGCGTCCGGTAATCTTCGTCGCTGCATCCTCGGTCACGACTCCAACGTTCACTGACGGTTTAGCCGAACAAACAACAACAACACGCTGGTACACTCTCCTGGGTGAGCTGGCTGCGATCGGATCGTTGCTCGCTAATCCAGCAGCATGTCGTGGATGGACAGAGTCGAACGGCGACCGATTCGTCGAAGTTATCCTGGCCTTGGGTTAACAGCGCGCCGGCGGTGTTCGCAGCGTGGTTGTTGCCCTTTGCCGCTGGCAGCACGCTGACGGACGTTCACCGATGCCACGGGAACCTTGTCTCTCGTGCTTCGTCGGTCCAGCGGCGATCCTCTTCGTCGGACCACCGCGCCACCGCACCTCGGCACCTCGGCACAGACAGGTATACGGCAGAGGACAAGGCAGAAACTCGACCGTGTGGCTTCCTGCTCCCTTCTCCTCGCCGCGGCTCGACCTGGCGTACCGGGCCTTCGAGAGGACAAAGGAATTCTTCGTTCTCTCTTTCCGAACCGGTGTCCTCAGACAGGCAGAGAAAAGGAGAGAGAAGGGTCTACCCTAACGGAGGATCCAGGGCTCGACGCGGCGACCATAACTCCCCTCACTTTCTCCGAAGGACTCGCGCACACGATCGGCAGCCACCGCGAACAAAAGGTACGCTCCGATCTCCGTAGCGCTTCGAGAAACTGTTCGCGAATGGGAACACTGGTTGTTCACGGACTCGCCGGTGAAATATTCAACGGACATCTGGTCCGACCTGGTCTATGTCACCGACAATCGTGATGCACACTCGTCGCGCGTCATATTACGTCACCGGCTTACGTAGCAGCAGACCGACGATGCACCGATCGTTGAACCCCGGTGCACACTCGCGGAGGCCAGTCGTCGGCGGCCGCAGGAAATCGTGGGCAAGTGTTGTCGGGCCGCAACGGGTCGCTTGACCTCGCATCTGTTGCGCGGCCCACGATCCTCCCGGTCGCACGCTACGATCGCGTTCGTTTCGCAGGAATCTCTCGGTCCGGGCCGACTGTTCGCACGATTCCTCGACCGAGCGTCACTCTATCACGGCCGATCACAGGTGAAAATCTGGCGACACGCGCTCGACGACGCTCTCTCGCGAGGCTACCGCGAACGACACCGGCTGTACAGACCTCCCTCTGCGGAGGCCGCGGCACGACTGTAGCCGCTGCCGCGAGGCGCGAGTTGCCGCGTTCACCGCACCTCGGTAGAGCTCGGCTACCCTCGGCCGACTTCGGCCAGCTTGTGCTCCGCGACTCCACGGTGCCCAAGTTCCTCCCAATCCCCGATCCGAGAGTCACTCGCCGACTCGAGCTCCGAACGAACGCCACGGGAACGTCACCCCTGATATTTCTCTTAACCCTCGCCCCCCAGGGGCGCTTTTTATGGCGCGCATGAAAAATTTTCGACCGCGCGGGGCCAATACCGAACGACCGTACTACGTACCGGCACTCTACTTGCAACAATGCCCTGAATTATGGAGCCGCGACGACTCGCCTGAAACACCCTTATCCGGTCTCTATTGCAGAGGATGATTCCACGGCACAGCGACGTCGCCTCCTTCCCTTGTGCCGATCTGAATAAGGCTTGCCTCGAACCTTGTGACAAGCGTGTCCGGATTATTGAGAATTCTTTATCGTTCTCCTAGGTTTTATTAACCTTTCGAGCTCTGAATACTCCTGGACGAAACGGTTCGTAGGGACGGAGCACGGCTATCGCTGACCATCGCCAGGGGCGGAATACTTTTTTGCCACACTGAAGTGACTATTCGAGGCGCAAACAGTAATAAATTATAGTGATTCTTTTGCAGAAGGTTAAATAATTAATCTTCTGATTCAATGTCTGATGATAGTGATTCACTATATTCTATTTCACTGTCGTCCCTTGTGAAATATTCCTCAAGATTTGATATTTTCTAGGGTGTCACGAATTAAAAAAAATAATCGAACAAGTTATATTCCGCACTATCGTTGTTGACGCGAGCGAGACCGTGAGGTTCTTACATTCACAAGACGATACTGCTGACTGAGTCGTTTTGAGTGCTTTGAGTCGCGAAAAGGTGACAGTGCAGGTAATTATTTTGAAATTTAATTGGTTAGAGAGTGGGATATAAAATGGGATTTCCGTTTCGGAAATTTCCGGGGATTTTTATGACCCTAATATTGCCCGACCGCTACCTAAGGAAGGCAAATTACTAACGAGTGCCCCTGTATTAATTTTACACGAAAATAACTGCATATTGATTGAAAAAATCGACAAACGCATATATGCGCCCTTAGTCCAGGCCGATGACTTAGAGAAAACACATAAATGCGGCCTTAGGCTACACGGATGACTTTCACCGAACGCATATATGCGTCCATAGAGCTCTAAAGGTTAAGGGTCGCTTCGATTGCTTGGTTTTTTCAACGATTGCGAGTTTTTAACGACCGCGAAAGAAAATTCTTTTCGCCTGTATTTGAATTTATAATTTTCCAGTAGTATAGTTTTGTAATTTTATACAGTAGTATTATTATTTATACAGTATTATTTATACATAATATTATGTATAAATATTATTATTATTTATACATAATAAAATAATTGATACAGTATTATTTATACAGTAGTATAGTTTTGTAATTTTATACATTATGATTAAAAAGTACAAAGCGATCTTCAAATCTCGATGAAACAGCAATACGGAAAGAAGTTAATTGGAGCGTGTGCTCCATTCCGTACAACATTTATACGGAACATTTTTCAATAAGAAGCGAATAACGTATTTATCGAGATCTTCGTAACGAGTCTGATACGATATGCCGGTGCAAAGGATGAAATTTTAGAGGCTGACGAGCGTAAGTCGTCTGAAAAGGCAATTTGCAAAAAGTGGCCGCAGATGTTAAAATTTGCGAGGAGATTCGCCCGGCGAAGTACCAACATCCAATTAGGAAGCGTGGCGAAACGAATTCCCACAGTTCGCGAACGAAGGCAAAGATTTCCGCGCGAAAAGAAGTTTCCACGGTAATAATTAGGTCTGGCTTAATTATCGGCGACGTTAGGATTAGCTGTCAAAAATACACGCGCCGCTATACGTCAGCACCTCGACAATTTAAATAGCACGTAGGAAACTTTAAGAGCCGGGTTAAGTAGGACGATTCTGCGAGTGATAGATTAACGAGTTGCTCGGCATTCTTGCGAACCACGAGACAGAAAGAAAAAGAGAGGAAGCGCGACAGAGAGCGAGAAAGAGAGAGAGAGAGAGAGAGAGAGAGAGAGACAGAGAGAGAGAGAGAGACGGGAATAGCGAAATTCCACTCTAATCTCACTGGAAACTGTACCAAGCTTAATCGCTAAAATATTTCCAATGGTGATTCACGGCGGTGACATAATTCATGCGTAATGACCAGATAAAAAATTATTTTAATTCCCTCTAGCCGGCGAGTATTAAGTTATAAAACGACGAAAAGAAACGCGCGACAAATTCGTAGGTGCCGACAAAGCGGATTTACAGTTCGTCGAAATTCGTTACGAAAAGTATTTGCAGCCCGAAAGTGAATAAGAAAAAAAATGTATTCCCGATGCAGAGCCTCGAATTAGCCTCTCGCGATATTTCAAGAGTTGATCCTATTCCCGACAGCGTTTCGCTAGACATCGCCGGATAAAATGCGCGAGAAAGGCATGCTTTTAAAGAATATTCGATTTTTCGCGATTTCCGAATATTTATAGATCAACTGTGAACAGAACGTGCGGTTTTCTATCGGATGTACATTCGAATCGAACATCTCGTAGTGGCTTGAAAACACAACGCACCGATGATGGTACCATTAAACGGGTTTGTCCATTTTATTGTTACACGATGTTTTCATTTTTTATTTGAATTGCTGTCTATTGTCCACACGAGCTAAAAAATTCAGACGAAATAATCGAATAGTGTGGCAACTGAAATGCAAATTTTACGCATTTATAAAGGCGTTCGCGTGTGAAACATAACGAATTGTAAGGGTAGTGGAGCCGATTACTGCGGGCTGACAAATTCCTGTGCCTTTCGTTTGTTTCCGGGCATAATTAACCTTGTGTTTATGAAAATAATAGATATGACAATTTTTGTATTCAACGATAAACAAGATAAAAGAATATATTTTGATATAAAAATACTAAATATACTTATATTTTGTTTACTTTTTAATAAAACAATTTCGTATGTCTTATTCGATAAATATAAAGTTAATTATGCTCGAAAATAAACCAAAGGTACAGCAATTCCGCCCACAGTATTCGTCTCCGCTACCCCAAACCCTCAACGAAATGCCAATAAACCATTTATTCGTCACAATGCACGATTTCGTAAAAACTTGATCCAAATTGATAGCAGACTGTTCGGCGAAGTCGAATAAATCTTCGCAGATCCAAGCGACAGCTTCAGAAACGTCGTGCGAAAGTTACTCCGTATACCCTCAGAAATTCTTCGTCGGTTTCTTCGCGATGCCCTGCCATTTGCGCGGGTCTGCCGTTGTCGTGGGCCGATAGTTTATATTTCGCATTTATATTTCGCGGTCGTGAACGAACGGTGGACAGTTTTTCCAGCGATTTGCCAGGCGGCTCGAAAAAAGGCGGGCTGGATGGCGCTTAAAACTCTCGGCGAGAGAACCGGCTGGTCCTGTGAGAAACGACAAAGGGAACCGGTCCGCTTCTTCGGGAAACTCATGCAATTCTAAACTATTTCAATGAAATGGGATAGCGACCGGTAGATTTGTTGGTCGCGGGTGCTCGCTTGTGCCCGGAGCACGCTAGACCGAGTTAAGGAAAGCCACGCTCCGCGCCATGCCGCGCCGCGCCGCGCCGCGCCTCGCCGTGTACTCGGTTGGCTCACTTTTCCTTTGTTCTAAAATTCTTACGACTTCCCTCGCGTCTTCTTGGCTCCCCTTCCTGCCGGGCCAACAACAAAGGAAGTGGTCTGTATCACCGAGGGCGGTAATGTCGGCGAATAGGCGCGCGCGCGCGCCGCGGTACAGAAGTTCGAAATCATGGCCAAAATGTAAGACATTGACGGATTTAACCCTTTCGCTGCGGAACGCCTAAAAATGAATTACTCTCTCAGCAGCCGGCGCGATAGTAGATTGTCTGTACGAACGACACGATACGCGCGACGCTCGTAAGACGGTGTGTGAAACCGATTTTGCTGGTCTTTTCTTTGAGGCGACTGGCCGACACGGCAGCCAAACAATAATAGTAATAATAATGATAATAACAATTTTAGTAATTTTTAATAATCTTAAATAATATAGACAATTAATATAATATATTATAACAAAATTTAATAATCGAGCGCCAGAAGGCGCTGTTCGCAGCGAAAGGGTTAATTGAACATTTGTATTGCAATTTCATATTTTAAGAAACGAAATGGTGCATCTAATACGGCGGGCGAATATAGTTGAACAAATGATTTGATTTTCACAAAAGTTGGTATCTGCGTGTTTTTGGGAGTTCTGATTACGAATCTGAATTTCCATATTTTGACCAAAATCTGGATTCGATCGTGTCGATGAGACATCCTTCTCGTTCAAATATGTCACGTTTAAAATGTTCATTTATTGAACTGTCATCATTTAAATGTCCTTTAATTACTAGAAACACTTGTTCTCTGCTTCATCGGCATTCATTACACTGTCCGACACGATTTTTGGGTTCCTATAGCCACTATGAAATTCTTGTAGAGCTTCACTCCCTGAACAAGAATCCGAAAACCGAATTGCTCCATCACCCTCAGTTTTTTAAATAAACGAACTTCTGTAAAAACCCAAAATTTTCGAGAAAAATGAGGTATTGCTTGAAAAGTGCAAACGTTAGAAAGTTCTAATTGGCGTTAAAAGATAGAGGAGAGTTTCCCGAATGTAGTGGTATGCAATTTATTAATTGTTTTTGGTCCTAAATAGCAATAAATTGATGTCAAAGTTTAAAAAAGTGTCGACGTGCGCAGTTTCTACGTCGACGTCACACGTCAGCAGGGTCGACACTTTCAACAGTTCGCTTAATGTAATGTAATTAATAATAAAACTATTATCTACACATTTTCAAATTCGATTTTCTCGTAAACGAAGCTTCAAACAGAAAAATGTTATTCCTTTTTTCGACTTATTTTCGCACGTAGAATCACCCCTTGCCCGATGGTACTACCCGTCCGGTAACACCCTGT